AGAAAATGTTTTGAGAAACGATGTACAAATGCGCTTTACACAATTGATGTGTGTATGGATTGGGATAACAGTTGTACGAGCCCCTAATAAAATGTTAAATAAATAAATAAATAAAAACATTAAAACAAAACAAACAAACAAAAAATTTACCAGGGTGGGGGGGTGGTGGTGGTAATGGCAGGGGAGGTTGGTGGAGAATAGGACGCTAACAATGAGTACAAAAAAGAAGAAAATGTTCTGAAACTTACTGTGGTGTGATTGCACAACTTTTCTTAAAAATAACTGAACTAATAACTTAAAATAAACTGTATGATGTGTGAATTATATGCCAATAAAACTACGTAGAATTTGGGGGGGAAAGTCATTTACACATGAAACTTACTCAGCTCTAGGAAGGCCTGAGTTAAGTTCAGGGCAGCACTAAAATGACAGACTGTTTCAAAGGGGCTCCATTCAGAAGAAGCAACTGTGACAGCTCCTTCCTCCCGCCCATGTGAACACCAGGAAGCTGGCATCCCAGGCTATTTGAAGTACCGGCATGGCACTCATACCTGTAGAACTCCTCTTGAATGGTGGTGGAAAGCTGCTGGTTGAACTGTTCCAGATCCACAAAACTCACAACCAACATGTTTCTCTCGGGACGGATTAGCTCCTCTGCTAGTTGCAAGTACTTTATTTCTCCATCACTGCTCTGGAATCTGTGGATACATGCCAGATCAGGTTAAACCGAAGAACCCAGGGCAGTAAAAAGCGGCAGCTAGATGCTGATTCAGTGTTGAAGACCACAGACTTCAGAGCCAGCAGGCTAAGGTTTAGGGAAAGTAAGTTGGGCCTTTAAACTGGTTTCTCTGCACTTTTAATTCTTTTTTGAGGGCATTTCAATTCATCTCAGAAGATTGCTGTGAATAAATATTAAATGTTAGTCTTTTTGTACAGTGTCTGCAACATAAAAATATTAGCTTTGGGGCTTTAACTTGAAAGGATTACTTTCCAATCTACTAATGTGCTTCGTTGTTAGTTATTATTTTTGTCAAGAAAATCAAAAGCAAGCCCTCTGCAATTGAGCTGATTAAGACTCAGAGTGATCCTACAGGGCAGAAGTTGAACTGCTCCTTAAGGTTTCTGAGACTGCCAATCTTTATGGGAGCTAACAGGCTCCCCCACGGAGCAGCTGGTGAGTTTGAACCACCAATTTTGTGGTTAGTCAGCAGCCCAACCCTGAACCCACAGTGTCACCAGGCCAAGAAACTGGTCAATATCCCAAAATCCAACCTTCTGAGGGATTTTATAAAGTGAGGACTAACTGAACTAAGAATCAGAATAAAAATAAAACCACAGAAAAGAGATGCTTTACTGTCCAAGACCTCAGGTCAATCAAAACACATCCACACAGAGGTAACTAATGTCATTGACCAAGGTATAAAGAAATTGTTAAACCAAAGCCTCATTTACTGTATAAACTTTCACCAAAACTCCAGTGCAATTTTACTTAATATATATGTATTGATCATGTTCTAATTCTTAAATATTTGTTAAATATATGGCTCTATGTGCAAAACACTTGCTAGATCTCCCTGAACCTGAAAAGGAAGTGCTGCTCCCGCCCTAGGGTAAGCACAAAAGAGTAACTGGGGAAGAGAACAAAGATGGTCCCACCAAAGAGAGCGACAAGGAGGCTATATAAATAAACTGGATGCTAGATGACAAGGGCACCTAGCAAGCAGTCACAACATCTAAAAGGTGGTAGTGGAACTCACCCTTGAAAGGTGTTTAAATTTTCAGAGGGAAACAAGGGTGACAGGCTATGTTTGCAAACATGCAGCCAGGTCAGTCAGAGGAAGTATGCGGTGTGATGAGTGGGTCAGTTGCAGAAGACCATACTGGATAGGGGCACTATTCCATACACAACGGGAATCAAAGGTTTTCAAGAAGAACTTGACTTTTCCCCCCTCAACAATGTACAAGGACCATTTGTCATCATCACTATCAGGAACTTCTCGCACGATGGTAAAGAGAATTAACGAGAACCTTTTTGATGTGGTTGCTAGGTCCGGGGTGGTGCCTGATAGGTTAATAAGGTTACTAGAGAATTATAGCACTCTGAAACGATCAGAAAAATGATTGATGTTGCCGGAAAAGGTTATGACGGCGTCACAAAAAGGGTGTGTCTTTAGCTGGGCTTGGAAAGATGAGTGGCTATCAGGCAGAGAACACAGCTTACGGTAGGGAAACATAAGCTATAGTTTTAAGTAGGAAGGCAAGTCAAAAAGTATTGCTACAAACCAACTAAAAACATAGTCAGCAACGCACTGAATCGTGATGTTACTGTTTTGTCATAGATTCTCTATATTCCTGCCGGTGGTGGTGTTTCTACCTCAAGCCTTCCCTGAAAAATACTGCCCTCTTCCATTTACACATCAAAACAGCAGTTTAGCATCACACTCATGGGGGAGGGCAGGGTAGGACTGCCCCTGTGAGTTTCCAAGGCTGTAGCTCTCTTTACAGAAGTACTAAAGCCCATCTTTCTTCCTGGAGGGTCCGGTCGTTTCTAAATGGTGACCTTGCAGTTAGCAGCCCAATGCCACCAGGGCTCTCTTACGCATCACAGGGGGCCCAAACGGTGTTCCTTTTCAGTGTTCTCTGAGTTTGGGAATGAAAAGAAACCTAAATGGCAGTCAGAGTAGATGGGTATGGTTTTGTAACGAAATTCTCATCAGATAGCCCTGGCTACCCTTGATGAATGAGGTCGTCTATATTGCTTGTGATGGGAAATTTTCCTGCCTGTTTTCTCACCAACAGTTTCCCTTAAAACGTCCTGTGTCCTTTGAGAAAAATCTATTAAATTAACACCCACCCACCCCCCACCCCCCCTACCCCCGTCACCAGAACCCAAGGTGCCCTCTCTACCTTGGATATCACTGGCCAGAGTCCCATTTCTGACTGGGTCTTCTATCTGACAGCACCCTAAGGGGACTAAGACCAGAGCGTTACTGAGAAAAGTCTGCAGCCATCCACTGGCCAGAGACCTGGGTCAATTTGGTTTGTTTGGAGAAAACCTGTGCACGGGTTCACTGGAACCCGACAAGCAATACTTTTTGACTTCCTCCGTCATATGAGATTTTCCCAAGCCTTTACATTTGACCCTGCAGGCTGCAGAGTCCACAGCTTGAGAGCGCAGTGCAACTGTCGCTGTACCAATGGGAAGTTATGGAAGCCTAGGAGCCTAGAAGGGTCCTCACGTAAGAGAATGTGAGAAGATGGAAGAGACGGGAGAGAGGATGCTATAAGGCAGATCAAGGGGTGTATTACTATTTCAATACGGGCAAGTCTCCGTCCGGCCGCACCTTCAAACCCCGCCACATCAGAGGGAAGCGCGCACCGCTCATTTCAAGTCCACGGGCCCCGTGGCCTCGGACGTGGCCACGCCCCAACGCTAACCTGCGGGCCGTCTGGCCCTGTGGGGGCGCTGCCGGGATCCAAGTACCGGGTTGCTTCGCACGGCCCGCCGAGCCCGTAGCCGCACCGGCAGCCAGCGGCTAGACTACCCCGGGCTTCAGAGAACGAGCGTGCTTAGCTCTGGGCGCCGGGCACACAGCGACATTTTTATCTCGCGACCCGCCAGGCTCCTGGCACGCGCGCCGGGGACGGAAATCCCCTTTCTTCGCAGCGGCGCCGACCCCCCGGTACCCGGAATGCGCCGGCCGCGCGGAGCCGGCGGCCCGGCTGAAGAAACCGGAGGGGCCGCGCGGGAAGGTTCCGCCGGGAGGGGCGCCCGCCCGCCCCCCCGGAGGGCCCAGCGCCCGCCGACTTACTCCTCCAAGAAGTCCAAAAACAGTTTCTGGCACTTCTCCGCCACCTCATCCCGGACTTCCAGGTGCTGAGAGCCGGCACTCGGCTCCGCGGCCGCGGCGAGGTCCATCGCTGCTTACGGCTGGGGCGCAGCCGCCGCCACACGGGTTCGCCACAAGCCTCTTCTCCACGGACCCGGCTGCTTTGCGCGCGCCGCCGTCGCTTCCGCCCCTGGAGCCAATCGTGGCGCTGGAGCGCGAGGATTTCGCGCCAAACCTGCCCAATGAGCGACGGTATCCCCTTTAGCCCCGCCCACCGAATGGAGATTTCGCGCCAAAACCCAAGCTTTTGGAGGGCTGCCCGTGCGCCTGCGCAGTATTACAGTATCCTGGGCTTGTTCTCTCTGGGGCACATTAAAAGTTTGCGTCTTTGTCCGAGTGGTTTATTCAAATCACTCCACTGATATTGAGTGGCAGCGTTAGGACTGTGGAACAGACAAATGTTTAAGGCTCGAACCACTTGCTGAGCAGTCTTGTTGAAGGAAGTAAGCGGTAAGCGAGTGGCAAACCTCGGTGACAGAGGAAAAGGCAAGTATACAGAGGGGCTAAATTTAGAATGCGGTATTGGGATTCCAAAACTTACTACTATCGAGTCGATTCCTACTAGACCTGACCCTCCAGGTGTCCCAGACTAACTCTTTACTGTAGATAGCCATACCTTTTTCCGACAGGGCACCCGGTGGTTTCGAACTGCCCACCTTGCAGTTAGCAACCCAACCAGTAACCACTACATCAAGGGTCCTGTTGGTATTAGAATTGGAAGAAGGTTTATTAACAGCCTGTGATAAGCAGGTGACACAGTTTTGATTGCTGAAAGTGAAGACTTTAAACACTTGATGAAAACCAAGCATTGCAGCCTCCAGTATGGCTTAGAACTAAATGTAAAGAAGAACACCAAAATCCTTACAACTGGATTAATAGGTAACATTATGATAAATGGGGGGAAAAGGTTGAAGTTGTCAAGGATTTCATCTTGCTTGCATCCATAATCAATGCTCATGGAAGCCGCAATCAAGAGATCAAATGATGCATTTCATTGGGTAAATCTGCTGTACAAGACCTCTTCAAAATGTTGAAAATCAAAGAGGTTACTTTGAGTTGAGGATTAAGATGTGCCCGACCGAAGCCATGGTATTTTTAATCGTCTCATATGCCTGTAAACAGTGGACATTTTATAAGGAAGACCAAAGAAGAACTGATGCATATGATGCTGGCAAGGAAAGTACCATGGACCATCAAAAGAACAACAGAAAAATCTGCCTGGTAAGAAGTACAGCTAGAATGTTCCTTACAAGCAAGGATGGAGAGACTTTGTCTCATCTACTTTTGACATGCTATCAGCAGAGACCAGTCCCTGGAAAAGGACGTCATGCTTGGTAAATAGAGGGGCAGTGACTAAAGAAGAAGATCCTTGCCTAGATGGATTGATACAGTGGCTGCAACAATGGGTTGAGCTATAACAAGTGTGAGGATAGCACGGGACTGGGTGATGTTTCATGATGTTGTAATAGGGTCACTATGAGTTGGAACAGATTTGATGGCCCTTAACAATAACCCCAACATGGTTTACAGTGGGAGCCCTTAATCTACTTTTGAGTTTCCACATAAATTCATCCTCCATGCGGTTCTTTCTGACTATTGACCAGGAAAGTGAAAAGCTTTGCTTTCAGGCTGAATATGAAAGTAGACTGCTATATTTCCATGGCCAGCCAACCCAATTCCATCAAAGGCTGTTGTTGTTAAGTGCCATCAAGTAGGTGAAAACCTTAAGCATGGCCAGCAAGGGCACCCAGGCAAGTCCCTGAGGACGAGGCTACCCTTTCCTGGACTGTTAGGGGAGTGACACTCATCTCTTATGTACACACTCTGGCGCAAGGTTCGCATACAAGTCCTGGTGGTTCAAACCCATCAGGCACTTCTCCGGAGAAACTTGAGGCTATGTGTTCCCATAAAGATTAACAGCCTTGGAAACCCTATAAAGGGTCTTTATTAATTGGATTCAACTGGATAGCAGTAGGTAGGGTCACATAGTCATGATTCATACCCTGACTACCTTGGGAGGAGAGCCCTGAACCCAACTTGTAAACTTTTGAATCTGCAATAATGTTCTTCTCCCAACCACTCTCCCTTTCCTGCTTCTGTAGACCCACCTGCAACTGTGATGAACTGCCAGTCAAGGTTTTGTGACAGTTTCCTTTGTTTTCCAAGCCTTTGGACACCATTAGGGCCTCATGCTGGTGGTCTTCTTTGTCCAGATGATTTGTGTTCATTTTTGTGCTCTCAAAAAACTCATTGCCATAAGTGAATTCCAACTCACAGTGACCCTATAAGGCAGGGAGAACAGCCCCTTTGGGATCCCAAGACTAACTCTTTATAGGAGTAGAAAGCCCTTTCTTTCTCCCATGGAGCGGCTTATGGTTTCAAACTTTAGACCTGGTGGTTAGCAGCCCAACTCTTAACCCACTACACCACCAGGACTTCTTGTCCTAAGACATAATATGGGACTTTATAAAATATATTTGGGTTTAGCATCTCTTTCCCCTTCAAATATGGCCTTAGCTTCCACTGTCTGGGGCACCACTTCCCCATTCAATGGCCCTTTCCTCCCAACTTCATTTCGCTTGTGTTTGGGGTAGCTGCCTGGATCGGTCACTCTCTTGGCTTAAATGAACATCTGTGTGCTAATGACTTCAAAGGGTATTGCCAACTTGTGCTTTTTTTCTGGGCCAACAGGTATTAAAAGATGCCTGGCCTTCAGCAATCGTGTCAGAGCAGGCTGGTGTGTTTCTCCCATGTGGGCTTTGTCGTTTCTCAGCTAGATGGCTGATTGGTGAAGAAAGCTGATGGTGAATGGCTATCAAGAGAGATAAAGTTTGGGGTCTTAAAGGCTTGAGGATAAACAAGTGGCCATTTAGCTGAGAAACAAACAT